GTGATTGGCCGTTTACCATATCATGTGATCAGCTGTGTGCAAAGGAGTCCACAGAGGGCGTGCAGGAGGCGCAGTTCTGGAGGACGTCATATGACGCTCTCCCAAAACTAGATGACCACACTGTAGCCGTCAGCTGGTGGGAGTAAACAGAAAAAATGTTCTACTTACTCCAACTAAAATATTCTAGCTAGAGGAGATCAGTGAAAGGCTGTTCGCTTGTCTCCCTTGCCTCCACTGGAACCAGTGTTGAATGCACGTCACTTCAGGTCAAGTGCATTCCATTCTGGCTCTGGAAGTGTAGTGGCCATCTTGCCTGCAATTCTGTCCTCCTTTTGACTTCTGGTCGGTGTAGCAGCTCTCAAGAAGAGCCAGGACAGGAGAGTCAGCCACAGCGCCATGGTGGGATTGATGACCTTGATACATCACCACTTCTGTGAGTGTTTTTAACCTTTGCTCATTCAATAAAAAAACTTTTACTGAACTTAGAGACACCTTCTTTCCTTTATACTAACCTAAGTGAAGATCATGCTGCAAAGTGAAAAAAACACTTAGTGAAGGAGGTGAACCAAACCATTAGTTCAATCATCCAATCATGTACAGGCAAAAATCCTGTTTTTTTTTTTTTAGATTTTCCTTCAACATGATTGGATATTCTTTTAAAAAAGAAATTTCACTTAGCACCACCTCATTCACTGAGCTTAAGGAAAATTCACTTTGCTAAGTGAACAGCCTCTCTAGTTATTTAGCTACTCAACCCTCATGCTTTTTTTGTTCTTAGGCCTAGGAAACACACAAAGAAAAAGCATAGTCTTTTCATTGTTTTAGATATAAATGTAAAAAATATAATCTTGATGACAATAGTTTTATTTATTAATGAATTAATGAATAGCTTTAAAACCTTTTCTCCATGTTATTGTTTTTTCAAAGCAACAATGACTGTGTAAAGGGGCCTTCGAACCCACCGATTTTTAGAAGGCTAGCGCTCTTCTGCCACTCCTTTACCCATTGGAACCAGAGATAAAATCCCCAGCAATGGCTGGAACCAGACACCAGGGGGAGCTGGGATGTCAGTTTATATATTGATGAATTAATTAATATCTTTAAAATCTTTTCTCCATGTTATTGTTTTTTCAAAGTGACAGTGACTGTGTTAAGGGGCCTTCCAACCCATCAATTTTTTAGAAGGCTAGCACTCTTCACCACTCCTTTACCCATTGGAACCAGAGTCAAAATCCCCAGCATTGGCTGGTACCAGACACCAGGGGGAGCAGGGATGTCAGTTTATATATTGATGAATTAATTAATACCTTTAAAACCTTTAATCCATGTTATTGTTTTTTCAAAGTAACAATGACTGTGTGTAAAGGGGCCTTCCAACCCACCAATTTTTAGAAGGCTAGCACTCTTCTGCCACTCCTTTACCCATTGGAACCAGAGTCAAAATCCCCAGCATTGGCTGGTACCAGACACCAGGGGGAGCAGGGATGTCAGTTTATATATTGATGAATTAATTAATACCTTTAAAATCTTTTATCCATGTTATTGTTTTTTCAAAGTGACAATGACTGTGTAAAGGGGCCTTCCAACCCACTGATTTTTAAAAGGCTAGCGCTCTTCTGCCACTCCTTTGCCCATTGGAACCAGAGCCAAAATCCCCAGCATTGGCTGGTACCAGACACTAGGGGGAGCAGGGATGTCAGTTTCTTTGTCATGTGACAGTGTTTGGGCCTAGTAATTGGCTGCTACATCCAAACACATGGGAGAAGTACCGGGTATTTTCACTGGTTAAAGTAGGAAAAGGAACATTGGCAAGGTGAATAACAGCAGGTAGTAGGACGCTTTACACAGATGCCATATTTGCTCCTTCTCACGATACAAGTCTATGGGGTTGATTTACCAAAGGCAAATACGATGTTCACTTTGCAAGGTATCTCTTTGCAAGAAAATGTTCCCTTAGCTTAGAGAATGGGTGAAAATTCACTTTGCAAAGAATACCAATTCAGGTGCAAGACAAAAAAAATGTTTTTGGCTTTCATGCTTGGGCGATGGATGTCGTCAGAGCTTCACCTCATTCACCAAGCTCAGGGAAAATCAATTTGCAAAGTGTACAGCCTATTTACCTTTAGTAAATCAACCACAATTACAGAGCACTCCCTATAGTGGCTAATCTAAGTATATCTATATCTATAACAATATCGAAAATATGGAAGAGCAAGAAAGTAAAAATGTGGATGTTGCATTAAAAATCTACTTATTAGAAAGCTTCTCATTAAAAATGCAGTTTACTTTCCCTTTAATCAACAGCACATTTACATAACTTGTTCCATATGTGCTTTCCACCACAAATTGCCTTATACCAAAATAAAAAAAAAAATTCGGTGGTTAGGATGTGTGTAATCCTATTGTTAATATCCAATGTCTAGTTAACTTTATGTCCAAATTTATGACCTAAAACCACTGTCAACCACATGATGTCCTCCATTCATCTACTAAAAAAAGCAATTCTTATTTTTAGAAATACCGTATGTCACCCAACTAATTCAAAGATACAGTTACTGCATCAAATTTATTAGAAGGACACATTGAAATAATTAAAATAATCAACATCTGTTTTGCATGAGAAAGAATAGGTTTTATTGAAGTTAAAGGCCCTTACATTAACATAGAGAATTAACATAAAACACCATGAAAGACATGATTATTTATCAACTTAAGATATAGTAATAGCTGGGAAATAAATACTGGAACTCTTTATATCCCAGAGTTCCTAGCACTTGGTGTGATGAGTGTGTTCAGGAATGTGGTGGATTTTCACAGCATGGTGGGACACTGGAACAAATACAAATGAATATGTCTTATTAATAATGAAACAGTGGAAAATAAACCCAACAGGGGGAAATGAACCCAAAAGTGAAAAATAATCCCAACAGGGGAAAATGAACCCAAAAGTGAAAAATAAACCCAACAGGGGAAAAGGAACCCAAAAGTGAAAAATAAACCCAACAGTGTAAAATTAAGCTTAAAAGTGGAAAATAAACCCAGCAGGGAAAAATGAACCCAAAAGTGAAAAATAATCCCAACAGGGGAAAATGAACCCCAAGGGGGAAAATAAACCCAACAGGGGAAAAGGAACCCAAAAGTGGAAAATAAACCCAACAGTGGAAAATGAAGCCAAAAGTGGAAAATAAACCTAACAGTGAAAAATGAAGCCAAAAGTGGAAAATAAACCCAACAGTGAGAAAATTAAACCAAAAGTGGAAAATAAACCCAACAGGGGAAAATGAACCCAAAAGTGAAAAATAAACCCAACAGGGGAAAAGGAACCCAAAAGTGAAAAATAAACCCAACAGTGGAAAATTAAGCTTAAAAGTGGAAAATAAACCAAGCAGGGAAAAATGAACCCAAAAGTGAAAAATAATCCCAACAGGGGAAAATGAACCCCAAGGGGGAAAATAAACCCAACAGGGGAAAAGGAACCCAAAAGTGGAAAATAAACCCAACAGTGGAAAATGAAGCCAAAAGTGGAAAATAAACCCAACAGTGAAAAATGAAGCCAAAAGTGGAAAATAAACCCAACAGTGAAAAATGAACCCAAAAGTGGAAAATAAACCCAACAGGAGAAAATTAAACCAAAAGTGGAAAATAAACCCAACAGGGGAAAATGAACCCAAAAGTGGAAAATAAACCCAACAAGAGAAAATGAAACCAAAAGTGGAAAATAAACCCAACAGGGGAAAATGAACCCATCGGTGGAAAATAAATTCAACATAGAGAATGAACCCAAGACCTCTCTTCCGAAAAGTTGTACTGCTATTCACTTAGACAACCTGCATCTATATATAATATTTCTATGTCTGACCAGGAAGAGGAACATAGTTTCAGCTCTGGAACAACTCCCATTCCTGTATTTTTGCTATTCAGTGAACAGGCATACCTTTAGCATGACTGAAGACTTCATCAAAATCATATTCATCAAATTAGGTAAAGGGCAAATTTGTGATAGGTGAAGCAGTATAGGAGAGTGGATGGGGGGGTGGGGGATTACTAGTATTATTACTTATCTTCTAATTATATTTCAAATACAAAGGGCTCTGAGGAAGAGGTTCCGTCTCAAAACGCATCAGCCATTTGGAGGCTTACAGTTCCCAACAGCCACCATCTAGGGAGATTGGACCATGCTGTCTTTTTTTGTGATGTGCCTTTGATTTTATTTCTTTTGTGAGTATACTACTTTTTATTCAATAAATCTCATTTTTAGAAGGTAATGCACTAGGTCTGTGTGTCCTCTCTTTGTTTCTTTGCACACACATCCACCAGCAGTTGCCAGGGGTTCCTTGAGCATTTAGCAATTTCTGCCTCTCAGATGAGTAACAATTGGCGTCAATACACATTTAGGTGAGCTGTAAGAGGAAGATTCTTCCCATTGCCCATGAATGCAAGTAACATTCTTCCCAATGACAATCACACTAGTTTAGTATGAGCTGTAGTTATAGTAAATATTAGCATGAGTTCCTTGAACCCAGAAGGTTAATTTGAGGGTTCCATCATGGTAAACGTTTGAGAAAGGCTCTATTAATGAATAAGGAGCTGAATTAATCTGTGTATTTTATACCTGCCTGGAGTTTTAAAAACTAAAAAGTCAAATTCTTCAGGTGCTATATCTTTTTTTTTCTTTTAACTGTCAAGATAAGTGTGAGGATTGATTTTTTCAGTGGTTAAAATAGAAAGCTCATTTGGTTTTTTTCTGTTACCTTCCTTGGTGCTTGAGAAGTGATGTCCAACACTGAAAAAAAAAAAAAAGGGTTACACAGAATAAATGGCTGAACAATTTGTATAATTGTGACAGACTATATAAAGGAACCTAGCAAGAAGCCAAAATGCACTCTCAAATATCTAATGTGTAAATCTGAAAAGGCTCCTTGTGACTTACTGGATGTCATGACCTTCTAGTAGTCGCTTGTAGGTTGCAATTTCCATTTCTAAATAAGTCTTCTGGTCCATCAGTGTTTTGTACTCATGGTTCTGACGTTCTCTAAGTCTCCACGCATCTGTGTCAGCTCAGCTTCTATATTATTGATCAAGCATTGTAACTGGGACAGCTGGGCACCAAAACTGGCTTCTGTCTCAGCAAGAGTTCCCTCCAATGCGGATTTCTGCAGTGAAGACAGTAATAATCAGGTAGCATTCCATTATAATTAAAATAACAAACTGTAGTAGGACATCATGATGCCTATGCACTTGAAAATGATGACTACCTTTCATATAGGACCCATAAAATGAACAAAAATGTGCCATATGAAGCAACATCCTGGAAGGTGGCTCCATGTTGCTTGAGATGTATGACTCCTCATAACATGCAATATTCACCCTATACTTATTTTGTTTGGTTTACACCTAAATACTTATAAAAATTTAGAGCAAAATTCGGAAAAGAAATATGTGTATCTATAAAAAAGGATAGGTAAAATGAGGGTTGGGCAACTAAAATGCTCCCATACTTAAGGAGCTTGGAGAAGGGAAAAACAGAAGTGACCATTGACCACTAATGAGAAATCTTTTGGCTTGGTGCTGTGCCATGCAGTGGCATCGCTATGGGGGTGCGGACCGCACCAGGGTGACACCCACCAGAGGGGTGACACCATGGCTGGCACCAACATTTACACAGTACCTGGTCCACTGAGCTCTGCCTCCTCCCTCCATTCCCGCACTTAGGGCCGGGAAAAGAGAGGGCAGCTTGGTACAATAAGCTGGGATCAGTAAAATCCAGACTGAGGGCGGCAGTGGTAGAGGAGAGAGAGCCAGGAGGAGGTGCAGGCTGTCAGCGGAGTACTCCTCTATACAGCAGATGACCAAGGATCGATCTAGCGATCCTATGTCATTTGCTGTATGAAGGTGAGCTCCACTGACAGGAGGAGCCTTGTGTAAACTGTTGTATGGAGGAGCGAGGTCATGTATCTTTCTAGTGAGAGGTTTGCAGAGGGGAAGCGGGGGGGGCTATTTGTGCTGGTTAGGGTAATTTAGGGGGAGGGGTTGTGCTAAGAGGAAGATTGGTGGAGGATATGTGCTAGGAGGGGGGATATGTGCTAGGAGGGGGGGATTGGGGGGATATGTGCCAGGAGCAGGGAATGGAAGGGGGGATATGTGATAGGATTGGGGATTTGGGGAGGATATGTGCTTGGAGTGAGGATTAGGAGGGGAACTGGTGGGGGGATATGTGCTAGGAGCAGGGATTGGGGGGGGAATAGTGCTAGGATTGGGGATTTGGGGATATGTGCTAGGACAGGGGATTGGTGGAGAGGTTGTGCCAGAAGCAGGGATTGGAAGGGTGGATATGTGCTAAGGAGGGGAGGATTGGGGGGGTAAGTGGTAGGAGGAGAGATTGGTGGGGGGTTGTGTGTTAGGAGGGACGACTGGGGGGATATGTGCTAGGAGGGGGATGGGAATTTGTGCCAGGAGTGGGTGGGGTAATTTGGGTTAAGAAGGGAGGGCTGGAGGACAAGATGGGGTTATGTGGCAAGGAATGGGCTACAATTCCTACGATACTTTGTGTCAGTGTACAGGCATTGGATGTAGCCCGGGGTCCCAGACGTCCAAGGCCCTCTGAGTTTATATTTTTCCAGTGACACAGTGTGAATGGGCAGGCAGGATGAGTGGATAGCAACATCTGGAGTATAGGAAGTGAGCAGAGATGTGGGCAGCAGACAGGGAGACTTCTAAAGCATTCAGTGGAGCCGAGAGTGTGCATAGGAGGAGCTGCCTGAAGACTGCAGAGGAAATGCATGGCGATTATTCAGCGACTACCTGAGATATTTTTTGTGTGTGTGTTGCACGGTGCTATAAGTGCCTGTTGTATGTCCACTGCAGCACTACCTCTGGCTGCTTCACAGAGTTCTCAGAGCCGAGGGAGACTCATTCTGGAGATCTGTACAGTTCTATGCTGGGAAGGGGGACTGGAAGGGAATTGAGTCTTTAATAGGGCGGGGGGGGTGACACCATTTTTTACTGCACCAGGTGACACCAACCCTAGTGACGCAACTACCCAGCCAACCTAATATCCCTAATGTGTTCATGTTTTTCTATTGTGAGCATAATATACCATGCTTAGTTGACTTTGCAGCTCAATTTCCAGAGTCTGAACATTCCGTCTAAGCTCAATGACTTCAGTTTGGACAGACTGCAGTTGTTCAGATCCAGATTCCATCTGACGATTCAACTCTTCACTCTAAAAATAAAAAAAAATACAACATATAATGCACTGAAACCTGAATGCTGTGAACACTTGAAGGTAGTTTTACAATTTCATTTTTGTTGATCTTTTTTTTAATATATCATGAAACACCTTTGAGCTTTACAGACAGTAGAACAGATTGCATAATGAGAGCAATGGGTATTGAGATTTTATCTAACATCTTTGTGTTTTCAGACCCACTGTGATGTTCTCCCTAACTTTTTATCCATCAAGCAAATAGCATTGCTCAACCTCCTGGCTGTTATCATCTTGCAGCAAGTGTAAGTCTACCAGCTGGGCTCCAGTCAGCCCCATCCACTTGATACTCGAAAAAGTCAATGCTGGAATCCATATATAATTCACAAAGTTTACTTATTAAAAATCAAGTGGTCCAGCAGAAAGCTAACATATTTATCTTACAAAGCCTTGCTCAAAGCCGTATGACTCAATAACTTACAAATTAATGACTTACGAATAAAAATGCCTGTGTTTTATTCCAGAGGGCAACGTTTGCAAACCTTGGCTTCTGCATATATTGGATGTTATGCTATTGTGTTTTTCGAGACAATATCTATGATCCCTTGAGTCCAATTTTTAAAAACTTAGTTACCCTTTGAAGGAACATGCTCTCGGTATCTCTCATGTTCCTGTCCATCAGGTTCTCATATTGTTGTCGGATCTCAGACAAAGCTCTGTTCAGATCTAGAGATGGAGCTGCTTCCACTTCCACGTTGACCCTGGCACCCAGCTGAGCACGGAGAGAGTTGACTTCCTGTACAAAAAATAACGCATATGGCAATATCACAATAAAAGATGAAAAATACAATATTGAAGACAATGATGTATATTTACTGAAAATTTTAATTTACACTTTTTTAAACAGAAGGGGCATTCTGTTTTGAAGCATGATGTTGCAGTAGTCGTTATCACCTAAAATCCACCTCATATGTGTGCTCTGTTGACAATATTGACACTTACTAATTAGTTTAATCAAAGAGTTTGAAAAGAATTTAAAACCAGAGCACTGTTCCTGCAGCCTTTCCATACTCCAAATGCATTTGTCATCAGGTCAAATAGGGAATTCTACCCAATAGAAAGACAGCAACAAAAATCCAACTGGGGTACTAACTCTTCATAGTTCTGTTAAAAAAATAACAAAAAAGTTGGCTTTGGATTCTCTTTGGTACTTTAATTCCCCCACCCACTGGGTCAGACACTGATCTGAATGGTCTAAAGTTCAAAGCTCTCTAAAAAGCAAGTATGAATAAGATGACTACAGTTATACTAATAATAAACTATTAATAATGGTTTTCCAGACCAGACTCCAAAAAGCACTTACCTCCTCATGGTTCCTCTTCATCTGCATAAGTTCTTCCTGCAGGTTCTGGACTTGACTCTCCAAGTCACATCTCTCCTGGTTAAGCTCCTCCAATACCCGCCGAAGACCATTCACATCAGATTCAACACTACTCCTCAGCCTCATCTCTATTTCATTCCTTGCATGGATAAAAAAAATTAAGAAATGTATTTTGGAAGATGTTCAGTAAAATTTGTCATGTATGATGCTGTAAGCTCCTACTAAAACTCCAGAACCAAGAGATTAAATATTTCTTCAAAAATCGTATTAACATTGCTTCCAGACTACTATTTTTTTTTAAAAAAGTTAGAAGTTATACTTGTTCTTGAAGTCATCTGAAGCCAGCCGGGCATTGTCTATCTGCAGCACAATCCTTGCATTTTCTATAGTAGCAGAAGATATCTAAAAAAGAAAAGAAACATCTAGCTAGTGATATAAATAATGTATGCCTTCAAGGTCTGTCTGTCTATCTAATTATCTATCTATCTTGCAAAAGCTTTCAATGTGTTTTAGGCTTAAGCCACTAGCAGTAATCATTGTGATCTCCCGGCAAGGACAGCTCCCCACTGGGAGAACACAATAGCTAAATGGGAGGGATTCCCCTCTCAACACTGACTGTTTTGAGGGATGAATCGGGAAATTTTCTTTCCTGCAGCCCATGGTTGCAGAAAAGAAAATGTCATATTCTATGGCTTGCCTTAGAATGGTGCTTCCTAGGATGCAACAGTAAATGGTGTAAAAACCAGCCTAACATTACTCTCTTGATTCAGATTATTATTAACATGATATGGATTTGCTTTGTTGTGCTTGGAAAGCCAATTTAGTTGTTTTCTGTTTTTTTGAAGCAGATGTATTCCTTACAGTTTAAACACTTTCTGTATACAGTTTCACATATATACACATGAACAGTAATGGAAAAAGTCACCAAAGGGCACCTGTGCAAGAACAGTTGGACCCACAATTTAGCAACTACCCTTGTTCATACATTCATTCACGATAGATAGATAGATAGATAGATAGATAGATAGATAGATAGATAGATAGATAGATACTGTAGATAGATAGATAGATAGATAGATAGATAGATAGATAGATAGATAGATAGATAGATAGATAATAGATAGATACTGTAGATAGATAGATAGATAGATAGATAGATAGATAGATAGATAGATAGATAGATAGATAGATAGATAGATAGATACTGATAGATAGATACTGTAGATAGATAGATAGATAGATAGATAGATAGATAGATAGATAGATAGATAGATAGATAGATAGATAGATAGATAGATAGATAGATAGATAGATAGATAGATAGATAGATAGATAGATAGATAGATAGATAGATAGATAGATAGATACTGTAGATAGATAGATAGATAGATAGATAGATACTGTAGATAGATAGATATGAAGAGTATGCTTTGCGATATTCTGAACCTTGTACAACATAGTATTTAACTGAGGTCATGCAAAGACTATCCCCTTCACTTCTAGTCTAAAATGTGGTCAAGCAAAAATCAAGATGCATTCTGCATTAGTAATTGCTCAACAGGAAATAGAGATGATCGCTGCCCAACACAACTTGGACATTAAATTTTCTAAATCTGGAGGACAATTGGGGAATCAATAAGAATGCCTCTTTCTGCTCCCCTGTCCAAGGCTGCATGACAGTGTGTGTGTGTGTGTTCCAGCACCCAGCTGACCCATAATATTGGCCTTAGGTCCCATCAGAAATCCATTGAGCAGATGCATAGGCTGGAAAAGTGGTTTGGTTGCCCCTATACACCAATGCAATTTTTTTTAACACTGTAATGTTTTTTAATTGCATTTATTATCAACTTGCTTAAAAAAGTTATGTCTATAATGGTTGATAGCTCCCATGATGTAAATATTACTACTTTGATTTAACTACAGTTCACATCTCTGTATGCTAAAGTGTGAACTATAAAACAAAATCCTGCATGCTGCATTTGTAGTGTGATTTCTACAAAGTTCACCTCTCATGTGAATTGATCCCATGAAACAGCATCACCAACACTCTCCAGCTCATGAAGTACAGAGTTGTGAATAGGTTCCTACTTACCTGGCCTTGAAGCTCCTGAATGGTTCTAAAGAAGCAGCTGAAATCTGGGAAAGTGCTGGGCTGGTTCCTGTCATACCACTCTCGAATATTCATCTCTAGTTGAGAATTTTCCTGCTCCAGAGACCGAACCTTCTCCAAGTAGGAAGCCAAACGGTCGTTTAGATGTTGCATTGTTTCTTTTTCATTTACAGCAAAAAGACCCTCGGTCTTCCAACCACTGTAACCTCCAAAGCTGCTATGATGGCTGCTGTGAGTGTGGACACTTCCACAGCCAAATCCATGACCTATAGAAGTATGTTTGGAAACAGAGACCCCTTTTCCTCCAGAGCCTCCATGAACACTTGGAGTTCTGCAGTGACCTCCTTGATGGGACAAGTGGGAGTTTGCATGATGCCCTTTATGGAATCCCCCATGAAGGGAAGAATGAGTTGTTCCATGATGGCCTATTTTATGAGAATCCCCATGATGGACCTTGTGGTGTACAGTTGAGGTATGGCTAGAAATGTTGTGACTGGTTCCCTTGATAGGTCCAGTTGAAGAATGGGTTGACTTGACACAGTGGCTCATGATGATGATCCTCTAAGAATCACACAATACTGTAGCTTTGTATGGAAGTTTGGTAGAATTCCTAGCATCCATGTGCCTTTTTTTATACAAAGGGAAGGGGGCGGTGAAAAACCAAAGAGATTTTATGAGGAATTCACATGCATTTCAATCCGTTTCATTTAGAGGTTGATGGGATTTGTATAACAGCCATTTGTGTGTGATTACCAGAAAATGATCACAGCATGCTAGAAGCTGTGACAAGTTTATTGTAATGTTGTACAACATTGTAATATGCACCACACCTATGGAAAGATTGAAAGCCAGCATTATGCATACATGAAAGACAGGTGAATGGCTATGGTATGCACCTAGCTTTTTTTCCTTATTAGAAACAGGATGTTTCAAGAACATTTTCTGGAAATATTGTATATATGCCCTAATTTAAATAAGAATTCAAGTCTAACAGAAAACCTAATTTGGGCAACACACTGGCTAAATGGTTAGCACTTCCGCCTGGCAGTACTAGGGTCATTGGTTTGAATCCCAGCCACAGCACCACCTGCCTGGAGTTTGCATGTTCTCTCTGTGCCTGCATGGGTTTCCTCCTGGTACTCCGGTTTTCTTCCATACTCCAAAGACATGCTGGTAGGTTAATTGGATCCTGTCTAAATTGGCCCTAATATGTGTATGCATGAATGTAAGTTAGGGACCTTAGATTGTACACCCCTCGAGGGTTAGGGACTGATGTGAATGTACAATATATATGTAAAGTGCTGCATAAATTGATGGAGCTATATAAGTACCTGAAATAAATAAATAATTATGCAAAATCAAATAAACCCTGGACAACTACATTCTATAGCCCAGTGGTCTTCAAACTCAAAAAGGCAATGTGTTGCGCTCCACTACCAATGGTGTTGATATGAGATATATAACCATACATAGATATAAAATGAATGAAAAAAATAAATATATATAAGTGAATTAAATTACATTAAATTAAGTGAATAAGTCCAGCATTAATTCAGCAGCGTGATATTGCAATCATACTGGTGCTGCATGCATGTCTTTGAATAATCCATGATTTTGATGTGTCTTCTAGTGGTGTTGTAATACAAAATAAATAATGTATAGTCCACCAATCTTAATTTGTGTGCTCCTTCACTAGTTGTGCTCTCACCTGACGTATATTACCAAACCGTTAAGTGAGGTCATAAAAGCTTGTGTCCCTTTAATTGAACTCAAAGATGAATGTATCTTTGTTTTCTAGATGTTTGGACAGATAAATGGAGTTTTCTCCTTTTCCCAGCAGGGGTCTCGACGCTTCCTAGGGACCTTTTTCATGAAATATAAGTTAAAATCGCTTTTTGTACAAAAATACATTATCCTCAATGTGTTTGCCAGACTCCAATATACTTGCTGTGTTGTTGCCTTTAAGTGTCGTGTCATCAGAGCCCCTCCCCTAAGCATTACGCCACGGGTCACGTGGCTTGATCAGGGGGAAATGATATGAAGATCCTGTATTTTTGTACAAAAAGCAATTTTTAACTTATATTTCATGAAAAAAATCCCTAGGAAGTGGTGAGACCCCTGCTGGGAAAAGGGGAAAACTCCATTTATCCATCCAAACATCTAGGAAACAGGGATACATTCATCTGCTCATTACTGAGTCCAATTAAAGGGACACAAGCTTTTATGACCTCACTTATTGGTTTGGTCACATACGTCAGGTGAGAGCAGGGGTGGACTGACAACTCATGGGGCCCCCCGGGAAATAGGGGATCATGGGGCCCCTGTGTCCTTGCCCAAACTCAAAAAAGCCTATGAAAAAGGTACCAGGGGCATCTCATGGGGTCCTCTACTAACCCTGGGCCCTCGGGCAATGCCTGAGTTTCCAAATGGTCAGTCCGCCGCTGAGTGAGAGCACAACTGGTGAAGGAGCACACAATTCAAGATTGGTGGACTACACGTTATTTATTTTGTTTTACACCACTAGAAGACACATCAAAATCACAGATTATTCAACGACCTGCATGCAGCACCAGCATGATTGCAATATCACGCTGCTGAATTGATGCTGGACTTATTCACTTAATTTAATTTAATGGAATTTAATTCACATATATATTTTTTTTTTTTCATTCATTTTATATCTATGTATGTTTATATATCTCATATCATCACCATTGGTAGTGGAGCGCGACACCTTGCCTTTTGACGTATTTGCAGTTTGAAGACCACCGGGCTAGAGAATGTAGTGGTCCAGGGGTTTTATTTGATATTGCATATTAGGTTTTCTGTTAGACTTGAATTCTTATTTAAATTAGGGCATATATACAATATTCCAGAAAATGTTCTTAAAACATCCTGTTTCTAAGGAAAAAACTAGGTGCATATATCTCATATCATCACCATTGGTAGTGGAGCGCGACACCTTGCCTTTTGATTTACAGTGACACACTAGTATGAGTATGTGTATAGTGTAGGTGACCCACCTATTTATATAAATATCTCGCACACCAGCTTATTTGATTTGATTTAATTTATTTTATTTATTTCACCTATCTTTATTCAATTACATTTCCATTTCCTATCAAACACTTGGTGAAATTTTATTAATCAATTGGTTTTATATATCCACTTAATTTATTACTTTTCATTCACATAGAGTATACACCATAGTAGTTCACAAGAATCACGTTTATCATTTGGTCTTCAAACTGCGGCCCTGGGGCCGGATGTGGCCCTTTGCTTGCCCTTATCCAGCCCTTAAGCCATTATTCCTGCCATGACACCAACAATGGGGCATAATACCTGCCACTGACACCAATAATTGGGTACTCTTCCTATTACTGACACCAATGATGGGGCACTTTTTCTTCCACTGAAACCAATGATGGGGCATAATTCCATAAACAGACAACAAAAATGGGGTACCATTCTCCCATTGACACCAACTATTTCACCCCTAATATTAAAGATCGGGCATTGTTTACTTCCACTGGGTACAGTCTGGGCCCCCCCTAAAGTCAAAAGGACACTAAACTGGTCCTTTCTTTAGAGAGTTTGGAGACCCCTGCTCTAGACTGATCTTTTCAGTACAGTTCCTCCTGCTTTGAGAATGTTGTACAGTTGTAACCTTGCAGCACACACCAGTGTGGGCCTTTAGTTCAGCAAAGGTGCAATCGCAAACAGCTACAGGTGTCAGACTAACCATTAGGAACCTCTCAGCATGGTCTTTGACCATCATGAGAAAAAAGTCACAGTGAGTACTAAAAGTTGTTACTTTCAAACAAGTCTCTTGTTGATGCCAATGTGTCCCTCTCTCTCTCACCACACAGCAGCATCAAAGTACAAACAAAAAAAAAAAAAACAGCGCAAACCAATTAAAAGAAAAAGCCAAAGAACAAAAGACCAAATAAGTCCCAAATAAAGTAAGTCTCGTGTTTCAAAAAAACGTAATAAAATAATATAAAACAATATAGTTCCCAACGTGTTCAAATCATCTAAATGGTACAAGTTGTCACCCACGCTCCCCCAATCAGGTGATTACCAAGTGGGAAATGACTTCAGGAATCAGACACACATTTTGGAGTTGAGATGAGAACTTCTCAATTGTATAACTCTGAACGAATCTCCCGATTACTTCAATATTTTTTTAATCAATGCCTCACGAGTGGATGAAAGAAAAAAAGAAAAAACAAATCGTGTAATACTGCATAAACCAAAAAAATAGCTATTGTACACTCACATTAAAAAATCAATTGCAAGCTCAGATGGACATAAATCCTCTCAAACAACCCCCAGCAATCCTTCCCTGGTAATCCGCAAACTCTCGCTCATGGATGGATGGTGGATGCAAAGAAAAAGCATAATAGCATAATAATGTATAAAGCCTTTAATATTAAAAAAAAAGACATTTCATATTGCACTCACACTTTAAAAGAATAAATCAAGCCTTTTGATAGACATAATTTCCTTCAGACAAGCTGAAAATCCATTTTAGCATGTATATAATCACAATGGCATGGAGAGAGATGAACTGGCAGCAATCAGGGAATTTAACCTGACTTGCCCACATCAAATATGGCCGCGGAATTAGAACCTATTTGAATACGTTGGGAAGTATATTGTTTTATATTACTTTATTAAGTTTTTTTGAAACACAAGACTTTCTTTATTTGGGACATTAACAAGGCACTTTCCTCCACACAACTGCTGCTTACTGGATTTTTTCTCTTTTTGGACCATTCTCTGTAAACCCTAGAGATGGCTGTGCGTGAAAATCCCAGTAGATCAGCAGTTTTTTAAATACTCAGACCAGCCCATCTGGCACCAACAACGACATCACGTTCAAAGTCACTTAGATCCCCTTTCTTCCTCATTCTGATGCTCGGTTTGAACTTTAGCAAGTCCTTTTCACCACGTTTAGATGCCTAAATGCATTGAGTTTCTGTGATTGGTTGATTAGCAATTTGTGTTACCAAGCAATTGAACAGGTGTGTCTATTGGCCCCCCCCCCCCCCCCCCCCCCCCCCCCCCCCCCCCCAAAGAGGCTGGTGAGTGTATGTATTCTTTAGTGAAGGTATTTCACAAAAGACCAAACAAAGCTTATATTCCATCATAAGAGCATGACCAGAGCATTTGACTGTTACCTTATGGAGACTCCATAGAAAAAAAAATCAAAAATTATTTTTTTTTTCGGAAAGCATGCAAGTTAAGGTGCAAGTAGTGCTTAACACAGCTCTTTAAGCAGAGTTCCACCCTATTTTGCAACCACAGCCATATTTGTTGCTGATCTCTGTGCCATTCATTTTTGGATATTGTAATTTTTTTTGTTTAGTTTTAGTACATTTAGATGTAAGAAATTGCTCCATTTCCATCCTACCTTGCCATTGTGAAGTACATCATTCCTTTTCTCCCGTTGGCTCCTGGGATACCAGTGTCATCAATCCCAAGAGTTGATTGAATGACAAGTTGCCATAACAATGGGGCAGGAACTTCCTCCAATGCCGCAATTGCTATAGCAACCTTCAATACACATAGTATGCCGTAATTAGTTTCCACTGCACAAGCGCAAGACTGAGAGCTAAGTAGCCAGCCTAAACCCAAAAGAAACTCCTACTGGGCTTCAGAGGCACAGACTCTGAATGGCCACTTATATGATCCAGGGGGTGCTGTAAGTAATGCTGGATTTTATTTTCTAAAAAAGATTACAAATGTATTACAAATGCCGATTTAGAGTATAGTTGCAGCAACAATTGCGGGGGTGATTTTTTTTTGACTGGAGCTCCGCTTTAATAAAAATTGCTATATGCTACATTTTGAAGGTTCATCAACCAGGTCCAGTCTGGTATTATGGAAACCCTGGCACAGTTTGGTGTGCCTGAAGCAGGGGCGGACTGACAACTCATGGGACCCCCGGGCAACAGGGGATCATAGGGCCCCTGTGTTCTTGCCCAAACTCAAAAAGCCTATGAAAAAGGTACCAGGGGCATCTCATGGGGCCCCCTACTAACCTTGGACACTCAGTAGGGGATCATGGGGCCCCTGTGTCCTTGCTCAAACTCAAAAAGCCTATGAAAAAGGTACCAGGGGCATCTCATGGGGCCCCCTACTGACCCCGGGCCCTCGGGCAGTGCCTGAGTTTCCAAATGGTCAGTCCGCCCCTGGCCTGAAGGTTATCTGTAGGCTGGTACAGCAACTTTAGGGTATTCTAACTCACCGTATCATAACCTCATCAAAACTATATTTGATGGGACTTCATAGAAAATTAATTACGATGTGGGTAGTTCTCCAAGTTCTGTTTGGAAAACTGTTTGCTGTGTAATGCTAAGAAATGAAATTATTGCAAAGCAATCTAATTATTTTTTTTCAACAATCTCATAGAGGATTTTAAATTATATATACACAAAACTGTGTGTCAAGTGTTCTTGCTGCCTGGACACATTACCAGGTTATATTGGGTCTCTTTTAATGGTGGACCCTATTCCAAATCCTTGTCTTGTATAGCATTTTAGCATTGTTACATAATCTTTTTATTTTCTTTTTATCTAACCAAAATCTAAAGAGAAATATAAATAAACTGATGATTGGGCTTAATAGAAAAAAAAAATTGTATGCATTCTACAGGACAGCCAGACAAGGCTTAAGAGGGTTTGGAATCCATCTATTTGCAGCCTCTTACTTAAGCTTTACAACTTGGAGACAGTAGTGGTGGGTATTTAACCAAGAAGATTGCTTCCTTTTCCATCTATACTATTTTACCACTTTTTTTTCTTTTTCTGTCTATTTTGGAATTGATGTTCTCTGCATTCCTAAAAGCAAACTAGGAGCTTGCCTTAGTTGTTATATTAAACCATTTTTGGTGACAGATGGGCCCCAGGTTTGTGACACAGTTATTTATACAATAGACATCCTATTTACGAGTTACATTTTGCTAACGTTTATGTGACTGCACATTCCACTCAGATATGGACTCTATTTATTGCTACTTAATTCTACATATATGACATGTCTTATTTATTGATTTGCTAAGCCATCATCACTCTTAGCATTTAACTAAGGCTTTTGTTATGTCTTGAACAATGTACAGGAAAAGGTTTACAGATCTTTGTTGTTTTTTTTTAATTAATAAGCACTACTGAAATTTAAAAATGAAATACACTGATCTATCTATCTATCTATCTATCTATCTATCTATCTATCTATCTATCTATCTATCAATCTATCTGTTCAGAAATAATTTATATGAATGTAGTACCTTCCTAGTTAGCCAGGGGAAGCTAAAGTTTTAATTGTTAGAGGCTGAGTAGCAGTCTGTTGCAACAGTCAGAGGGGTCAAATTTTGGTCTGAGAGGCTCTGCAAACTGGCTCCCTGAGACTCCCCCCTGCACTAGAACTTTGGAGAAAGTTCTAGAAGCAGTGGGTGGCGGTAAGGAGTGGCTAGTCTGCACAGTTAGGGAATGCTGACCAATCCCCAACAGGAAGCTTGGCAAGGGTCCAGGACAGCCCTTAAGAATGACCAAGCCTGCTTAGCAGGAGGCGAGTTCTGGTGAAAGATGAGGAAGTGAGAGGCTGGAGAGCAGAAGCCAAGAGGGCCATGATGGAGTGGGGCCCACCTGCAGGCAGAGGACCTTGGAAGGAGGAAAGCTCAGGACTTCACCAGCCCCCAGAACGAGGACCACCTGTGCAGCAGGGAAGGAGTGGCCCAGCTGGAAGGCCTGGTAGTAGCCATTGACCCAGCAGCAGCACAGGAGAAGAACTAAGTGAGTAGACCTGCACCCCCTGGGCCAATAAGGGGAAAAAGGAACTCTAGTGGAAAACTTGATTAGGCATCTTACCTGGGTCTGTTTAACACTGCAGTGGCAGGCACTGGATCCCCTACCCAGGGCTTCACTCAGTACAGCTGGATGAGGAGAGGAGTCATCTGGGGTCTGGGGTGATACAACAGGAGATGCTGGCTAGCTTTTCATAAGAATTTTTGCTGTAAATACTTGTACATAGTTGCTAAGGAGTTTGTCCTCTTTTGCCATTACCCTTGGGCATCCCATACGCTCCTTACCACATCCAAGTTCAATCTCCCTAATAAAATCCAGAAAAAGAAGCTCAACGACTGGTTACTGTCTCCTGGATGGAAGTCTGTTTGAAAGAAATGTGTGTTGCCTTGTTGTGCCAGACTATAGGGGGACCCAAACTTTGGTGACTCCTAAGGGGATATCGCTACATGAATATTGAGGTCATCCTTATATAGTAATAAAAGCACTTTCTATATACACATTCCAGCAATTTGCAATACACAAAGGAGCCATTTTATTATTTTATCTATAGAAAGATGCACACATGCAGTACAGTAAATATATCTAATATTAGATACAATTAAGCAATATACTGTACCGTACCAAGCACACGCTATGAATCAAGTTGTTTTTGTTACAAACAATAAAACACAGGTTCGAATGGTATCCCACTCTTTGGTGAAAAAGTCCAGATTATTACACCTATTAGGAAATATTGTATAGGGTCCCTTTTTTTTTTTCAATTTGTAGGTGAGATATGCTTGGATTATGGATTGAGATGACAAATATGAGCAGTCATCCATAGCAGCATACTGATCTGACTATAAGAAAATGTAATATATTTTATAAGCTGCAAGACTTTGTCAATCACAGTTGTTCTTTGTGAAGTCTTATTGACCAAGTCAGTTGATACTTATAGGTCTTTTCAAATCTCTTGTTACACCTCCCACAGAAAATGTTACTAAATAGAGTATGAAGCGTCAGCTCTTTTATTTGAAGCTCAGCTCCAGGCAAAATCTTTATTTTTGTAAAAGATTACCCAGTACCTGATCCCAGTTTGGAGCTTTTCCTTGCAGTACCCTTTCTTTGCTACATGATGTTCTCAGTGTTCTGGGTTGAGGGATGCCCAGCGTCACTCAACCCAGAAGACTAATGACTCTACGTTGAGTGCAAGGTGGCATGGGCCCACTCCCAGGAGATGGGATCAACACAGCACCCTTTAGTCACACTGTACTGGGCAGAGAGTGGTGCTAATGACATCACATAAACAAGAGGTGAAGATGAAGGCGATGGTATATAGTCACATGACTGACCTGATGACTTAAAAAAAACTTTAGTGGTTAACAAAATGCAAAAATCGATAGCCAGTGGGGGCCACAAGAAAGGAGGAATTTTGAGGGGCAACACGGAGTCCAGATATTGACTTTTACTTGATATGCTCATATCTTCCATCCCTCAAAATTTGGAGGCACAGTTATGGACCTCCAAAAGATCCTGGCTTTGAGAAAATGGACATGGTTCAATTTAGACAGCGATATGGATGGCTGGTGTGGTTTCTCAGCTGAACTTAAAAGTGAAAATGTTGAGGGTATATTTTGTTCTTGAGAGGATTGCTTAAAGTTCCTGGGGTCATAGAATATAAAATTTCACAGTTTTATCCCTGCCATGGCACATTCTACTTGATCATTTACAAAGCAGTTTTGGTACCAGGTCCATACCGAATACAGTCAAAGATATAAGACATGGATAACATCACAGCTTGGCAAAAAGACCTTGTCCACGGTGTAGGAAAAGAGACAGGATCTTCTGTGGAAGAACTCCCTCTAAGGTCGCAGAAACATTTACCAAACCAACTCATGTGCAAAAGTGTCAAATCTACCTCCAAGTGAAATATCTGTTTAAAGTGGACTTACCCTTTAACCAGGAATTAACCAGAAGCTTTGGAATATTATATGTATACGTTACATTTTCACCTAAACAATAAGACCTACCCATCCTGCTTGATTATAGTTAGCATGCAAAAAAAAAAGAAAGAAAAGCCCTCTAAATGTCTAATCTAGGATCCAGCTTAGAAATATGTAGATAGATGCTATGTTGCTTCTTTGTGATAAATCACTTTGTTGATTGGTGAATAGGTTCCTTGGCTTGGTGTTCTACTTTTCCGTGGTCAGGTTCCTGAGTGCTCAGATGGTGTCTTGCAGTGTTGCGAGAAACTGTAATCATGAGATAAAAAGTTATTTGAAAAATTCAAAAGTCCCAGCCCATCTAATAGCTAGTCAGCAAAAAAAAAAAAACACTATTTAACAATCTGCATTAAAAGAGAGGTTTTGGTTGTACAACATTCACATGTATATAAGTCGCACTGCCACATCAAGGACCGTTCATGTAGCATGATCCCTAATTCTAATCTATGAGAGCATTTTAGGGAACCTATAGCATAGCAATGAATAAATTGATGGCAGGAATACCTGGATGTGCAGTTGTGCTCAAAGCTCTGCATACCCTGGCAGAAATCATGAAATTTTGGCATAGATATTGGAAATATGACTAATCATAAAAAACTGTCTTTTATTTAGGGATAGTGATCATTTGAAGCCATTTATTATCACATAGCTGTTTTTCCTTTTTCAATAATAATGATAACAGAAATCACCCAAATGGCCCTGATAAAAAGTTTAACATACCCTGGAATGTTTGGCCTTGGTACAGACACACAAGGTGACACACACGGGTTAAAATGTCAATTAAAGGTTAATTTCCCACATCTGTGGCTGTTTAAGTTGCAATTTGTGTATGTGAGTAAATAGTCAATGAGTTTGTTAGCTCGCACGTGGATGCACTGAGCAGGCTAGATACTGAGCCATGGGAAACAAAAAAAAACCTGTCAGAAGACCTGTGTAACAAGGTAATGGAACTTTATAAGATGGAAAATGATATAAAAATATATCCAAAGCCTTGAATGTGCCAGTCAGTACTGTTCAATCACTTTTTAATAAGTGGAAAACGCAGGGATCTCTTGATACCAAGCCAAGGTCAGGTAGACCAAGAAAGATTGCATCCACAACTGCCAGAAGATTTTGCTCAGGATACAAAGAAAAACCCATAGGTAACTACAGGAGGAAAACAGGCTACTCTGGAAAAAGTTGGTGTGGTTGTTTCAAGGAACACAGTGCAATGATATTTGAACAAAAATGAGCTGCATGGTGGAGTTGCCAGAAAGAAGCCTTTACTGCACCAATACCACAAAATAGCAGTTTAATTCTAGGTGTCAGGATCCAGAATGTGTAAGCTGTAAATACACAACACACAATTTCACCAGAAAAAGAAGCACAAAGTATGTACGGACATGAATAATGGGGATTTAGCTGGACTGGACTTACAGATAGGGTGGCATTCTGGAACCTATCATTATACAGAGGAATATAACAGGCAGAAAAATGATACATGGGTGGTTTGGGTTGGTGTACACCTGCTGTCCTAGGCTATGTTAGCTGTGCAGAAATCTGGACATGATTTGTAAGTTTTACCACTGCTATGTATACAATTAATGTTCAGATAATGAAATCTTTCAGAGAAGCAATCTTTCATAGTGGGGGAATTGCCCCAGAACAGTATCATCATTGGGTGATTTCTCAGCATCTCTTGCTTGGGGGACAACGCTAAAATTTTGGATTCCCCCTTACTTATTTTCTTGGAGATAATAGTCACAAAATAAACAGAGGGGTGAATCTCCCCAATGGGGAAACGGGCCCAACTAGAAGAATGTTTTGCCTGGAAATATACTTTACTAAGTAATAAGGACCAGAATAAACCCAAATGATTCATCTATCAGCTGAAGTTGTTGTCCCCTATATTCCTAAGGGAGGCACTAGTGTAAAACAAATATAACAGACCAAATGTACATTTGTCATCAATTTCATCCATTTGGCAGTCATCCCAAGATGAATCATGAGTTCTTTTATAAAAGCTCAAAACAGCAAAACTTGGACTTCAGGTAATTTTTATAGCCTTTAACTTCCTCACTTACTTTCTCTATGGAGCTTCTCATGCTGATGATGTTGATCTGGAACGCTGTAGAGATATGGGATGGGCATCAACAGTCCAGTGTGTATGAAGGAAAATTATAGATCGTACATTGCAGTTGTATTGGAGTAGTGACTTACAAGACTTAACATAAAGAACCTGCATACTGTATATTTGATCTATACTTTAAAAAGTTGACCATGAAAGCTATGTTCACACAAAACTTAAAAACTGCTTATAATTAAATGCTGAATTAATGCACATTCAAAATGCTTATTTTTGGGAAAGCAACACTGGCTGGAATTCCTCACTTTTTTGCATACCTAATCCAAAACATCAGCCCACACACCCATTTCTAAATTACACGGTTCTTCTACCTCTTCGGAGGTCTAACAGTGAGATTGAGAAGCATAAAATTCTGGTGGAAAACTAATTTGCTGGCATCTACTCAGGGCTGCTGTTATAAACCAAAGGGCTCCATACAGCCAACCTGACAGGGCCCCTCCCCCCAAAAAAAACACAGTTTGCTATGCTTCAGTTATGAATGTACACAGTGAGTTATTGGTAACGTGCACTCATTGTGTTCATTCAGGAAAGGAAGGGACTGGTAAATGTGACATATTTACCGGATCCTTCCCCTACTCTCCATCCTGAAGGATCGTATTATGTGCTTGCAGCTGCCAGTGGAAAACCGAGCAGGAAATCCAGCAGCACTGTGGGAGTGGGGACACACAGGGGGGCCTGGGCAGCAGGTGGAAATGTATGGGGCACAGGGAGGGTGATGGGTGCAGCCTGAGGCAGTTATTGGAACCGATCCCTTGTTTGGCTCTCTCTGCAGCAGCTGAAAGCCAGCAGGAGGGAGAGGAGAAGAAGCCAGCGTTCAGCTGATGCAGAGAAAGCCATACAGGGGATCCATTTCAGCAACTTGCCGATTATACAACCTGCCCTCATCTGCTTCACCCAGCTCCCTGCCCCTACCCCGCTGGCCTAGGACCCATAAAAGAGGACTGATGGTACCCCCTTATCCACAGCCCTGCATCTACTACAATTAAAACATCAGTTTTTTGGTGGATAGATTCTATGAAAACACTTATTTTTCATTTAAATTGAATAAAGATATTATTCAATCTTCTCCTTTCCTCTTACATAGGGGTACCCCAAAGCTCTGTTCTCAGGCCTCTAAGCTGAGGACACCCAAATGTATTTCTTTACTCCTCAGCTAAGCCCTTCAGTCTTCTTGCACATCACTAATTGACATATTAGTATGGAAGTCACACCTTGTCCTAAAGCTCAATCTTTCCAAAACGGAGTTCATAATATGCTCCTCGCCCTTCTCTTCCATCTTTTTTTCATTAGGATCAATGCCATAACTATCAGCCCCTCTCCTCATGCTAGGGTGCTGGGTGCAATCCTAAATTTTAATGTGTCATCTTATTGACACATCCCTTGACTGTCCAAATCCTGTCACCTTCACCTCCCTAAAATTACCAAAAATATGCCCCTTCTTAACCAATGACACCATCGAGCTATTAATTAACTCCCTTGATATCTCTCACCTTGGCTATTGCAATGTCCTTTTCATTGGCCTACCTCTGCACAGACTAGCCTCTCCTTTACTTACTAAACATCTTGTGCTTCCAGCAGTCGCTTATATGTGGTGATCTCCATCTCCAGATGGGTTGTTTGATCCATGAGAATCTTGTACTCATAAATTTGTCTCTCTAGTTCTGATCGAATCTGTGAGAGTTGATTTTCCACATTGTCAATCAGGTTTTGTAGCTGATAAAGTTGGGAGCCGAAAGTTGCTTCTGTCTCGGCCAAGGTGCACTCAAGGGCTGATTTCTAAAGACAAAACACAAGTATTCATTGGTAACATGTGTAGAGCTAGACTTTTAATCAGCACAATTCAAACTAATGCCAGGGAAACACAAGTAGAACACTCATGCTGGTTATCTGCATTTGACATAGAGCCCTTCGCATATTGCTAAAACTGTTTTAACTCAATCAGTAATGGAAATCATGTAGTCACATAACACCAGGATAACATTTACTCTCAAATCACTGATTTGCATGTCACAGGAGGTACTAGGCTGTCATGAAACCACCAAAAGTGGAAGGAGAAATAAAGAGGCACTTATGTTTGAGGTGCTTTCATCTAGTGTCTATCTCCTGGATGGCTCAATGTACTGGAGATGGTCTCAGGATTCTAATGCTTCAGGATGGCTCCAGAAACCTTAGAATTACTGTTATTTTATTGCAGTGCCAAAAGTAGACATGTAAATTTAGTTTCAATTCATTTTTTGGACAGAAATGTAATTTTCAGAGATTCAGATACATACAAATCTCTGAATAGACATAGGAATGAATGTCAATGAATCAGAAAAAAAGTTATACCGAAATTAACAAATGCATTTGTTTCATTTGGATGGTGTTACATGATGCGATGGTATGTGACACCCTAGGGAAATTAATTCAATTTCCAAATGCGGATAACAAATGGATCCAAATTTCATTACATTAATTAATTTGGATGCACATGACGCCAGTCAATGTTGTCCAATCAGCTCATGCCATTTTTCTTGGTGGGTTGGACTAGAGTCTGAAAATATTGAATCCTTCTGATTCAAATCCATCTGATTCAATAATATATCAAATATACAGCAGTCTCTTAGGAAAACTAAACAAATTTTCAGATCCACCCAGACCAAAGAATAAACTAAACGAAATTCCAAAAATGCATCAGGTCAACATAACAAATATGACAAAAGCAAATTCTTCAATGAATGAAAGCATTCGAAATGAAATGAAGAAAAACATTTTTTCAGTGTGCACGTCTAGCCAAAACCACAGCATAGAGGAACTATCACGTACATTGGTATTAAAAACAGAACAATATATAACTGAAACAATAAGGCACATTGATTATTGATAAAAATTGATACAGAAGATGTGGAAGATGCCTTGACTTCCATTTTGAAGCACTTTGCCCAGGAAAAGCCACCCTTAAAATGGGCAGAACTTCAGTACCATGTTAGGAACTTTCATACTGAAGTCTAAGGGATCAACCTCCTGCTGTCACTATAAATAAAAATTAATTATTGATGATGAGACAGTCAGCACGTTAGCCATGCTTAATTTCAAGTTGTTCTATAAATCTGTAAACAGCAATTGCCAGAAAAATATATTGCATATGCAGTATGTAATTAAATGTGCATAGGAGATTTTGAGGCTCCATTGTAGTCCAATATCTATCTCATTTATCTTAATTTTCAGTTACCAGAAGTGCAATGCCAACAGCAAAGTGTTACACTATAATACAAAGTAGATTTTGCACAAAGAAACACATATACTAGGGATAATGGACATACAATTGACATTTTACCATTCTGGTACTGGTATGGTCAAAGAATTTCTAATTGCAGTGGCAAGTTGGAAATCCACAAAACAATGGCAATCCCCACCATGAATACTTTCCACTGATTTGCAAAGGGAACTTTGTTTTAATGACATAAGCTCCATGATGGTATGCTAGATTATTCAGTATATTACATTACATACCATGCTCAGCTGACTTTGAAGTTCAATCTCAAGGGTTTGCAAACATCGTTTTAAGTCAATAAGTTCGGTCTGAACTGACTGCAGCTGTTCTGATCCAGAAGCCACTTCCCTGTTCAGGTCCTCACTCTAAAAATATAAAAGATAAATTAAGTCATACAGAAATGAATACAACTTAATTAACTGTTATGAAGTTTACCAAATAAAAGATGACTTACCCTGGCAATAAAAATGCTCTCAACTTCCTTCAGGTTCCTATCCATCAGATTTTCATACTGCTCTCGTAGTTCAGACAGGACCCTGGTGAGGTCGACGGATGGTGCAGCGTCTACATGAACACTGATCCTGGCACCCAGTTGGTTTCGCAGACATGTCACATCCTTTAAGGTTAAAGTAAAATGTGAAAATGTATATTTACAGTAATGTACAGGTAGCATCAGGAACATTAGTTTAAAAGACCAGGTCTTTTCTGACACTTTTTGTTTACACGTAAAAATCAGTTTGCTAGAAAATTAGAACCACAAAACATTTTATATATATATATTTATATATATTATAGTGCCAAAAGTATTGGTCGCCTGCCTTTACAAGCACATGAGCTTTAATGGCATCCCAGTCTTAGTCCGTAGGGTTCAATATTGAGTTGGTCCACTATTGAGTTGGGAGCATGAAATTGTCCAAAATGTCTTGGAATGCAGATGCCTTAAGAGTTCCCTTCACTGGAACTAAGAGGCCAAGCCCAAACCCTGAAAAACAACCTCACACCATAATCCCCCCTCCACCAAACCTGACACTTGTCACAATGCAGTCAGGCAAGTACCGTTTTCTTGTCAACCGCCAAACCCAGACACATCCAAGGGCTTGCCAGACAGGGAAGCATTGAAGTGAATTTAAGCGTGGTAAAATTATAGGTCGCCACCTGTCCATTCGTGAAATTTCCTTGCTACTGAATATTTCACAGTAAACCCTTAGTTGGATTATAACAAGGTGGAAGCAACTGGGACCAACAGCAACTCAGCCATGAAGTGGTAGGCCATGTAAAATGAAAGAGCGGGGTCAACGCATGCTCAAGCTCACAGTATGGAGAAGTCGCCAACTGTCTGCAGAGTTAATAGCTAAAGACCTCCAAACATCGTGTGGACTTCAGATTAGCACAACAGTGCATAGAGAGCTTCAAGGAAAGGATTTGCATGGCCGAGCAGCTGCATCCAAGCCAGGGGCAGACTGACAACTCATGGGGCCCCCGGGCAATAGGGGATCATGGGGCCCCTGTGTCCTTGCCCAAACTCAAAAAATCCTATGATAAAGGTACCAGGGGCATCTCATGGGGCCCCCTACTGACCCTGAGCCTTCGGACAGTGCCCGTGTTTCTAAATGGTCAGTCCGCCCCTGATCCAAGCCTTATATTGCCAAGTGCAATGCAAAACATCTGATGCAGTGCTGTAAAGCATGCCGCCACTGAACTCTAGAGCAATGGAGACATGTTGTCTTCACTGTCTGGTAATCTGATGGCCGAGTCTGGGTTTTTGCGGTTGCCACGAGAACAGTACTTGCCTGATTGCATTGTACCAAGTGTAAAGTGTGGTGGAGGAGGAATTATGGTGTGGAGGTTGTTTTTCAGGGGTTGGGCTTGGCCCCTTAGTTTCAGTGCAGGGGACTCTTATGGCGTCAGCATACCAAGACATTTTGGACAATTTTCATGCTTCTAACTTTGTGGGAAGAGTTTTGGGATGTCCCCTTCCTGTTCCAACATGACTGTGCACCAGTGCACAAAGCAAGGTCCATAAAGACATGGATGAGCGAGTTTGGGGTGGAGGAACTTGACTAGCCTGTGCAGAGCCCTGACCTCAACCTGATAGAACACCTTTGGGATGAATTAGAGCGGAGACTGCAAGCGGTCAAACATTTCCATAGACACACTCCTAAATCTTGTGGACGGCCTTCCCAGAACAGTTGAAGCTGTTAAAACTGCAAAAGGTGGGCCAACTCAATATTGAACCCTACAGACTAAGACTAGGATGCCATTAAAGTTCATGGCATGTAAAGGCAGGCGTCCCAATACTTTTGGCAATACAGTGTGTGTGTGTGTGTGTGTGATGTGATAGATAGATGACAGATAGATAGATAGATAGATAGATAGATAGATAGATAGATAGATAGATAGATAGATAGAGTATTTACACACACAGTGGCCACTTTATTAGGTCCACCTGTTTAATTACTTGGTAACACAAATTGCTAATTAGCCAATAACATGGCAGCAACTCAATGCATTTAGGCATCTAGACGTGGTGAAGACAACTTACTGAAGTTAAAACTGAGCATCAGAATGGGGAAGAAAGGGGATTTTAGTGATTTTGAATGTGGCATGGTTGTTTGTGCCAGACGGGCTGGTCTGAGTATTTAAAAAATTGCTGATCTACTGGGATTTTTAACACACAACCACCTCTAGGGTTTACAGAGAATGATCCGAAATAAGAGAAAATTTTCAATGAGCGGCAGTTGTGTGAATGAAAATGGGCAAACTGGTTGCTGCGACATTCAGATGATAGGGTCAGAATGTTTTTCGTAAACAACATGAAAGCATAGATCCACCCTGCCTTGTATCAAGGGTTCAGGCTGGTGGTGGTGGTGTAATGGTGTGGGGGGAGATTTTCTTGGCACTAGCAAAGTGTACCTAATAAAGGGGCTAGTGAGAGTATATATATACAGTTGTGTCCAAAATTATTCAACCCCCACTGAAATTGAGTGTTTTGGCCAGTTTGACATTGCTTTTGATCATTCAGTCATCTTGCTTACATTTTTAAAGAGGCACTTGTAGGTCAGACAAATATAACATAACAGTTATAATGAAATAACCACAAATGTCATTTTCTGTGCTCACAGCATTATCAGTTTTATTCAACCCCCAAGTGACATTCAATCTTAGTACTTAGTACAGCATACTTTTACAGTTATAACAGCTTTTAAACGTGAAGCATAGCTTGACACAAGTGTCTTGCAATCTAATCTTCGCCCATTTTTGGGCAAAGGCCTCCAGTTCAGTCACATTCTTAGGCTTGCGCACTGCAACTGCTTTCTTTAAGTCCCACCAGAGGTTCTCAATCGGATTTAAGTCTGGTGACTGCGATGGCCACTCCAAAATGTTCCAGCCTTTCCTCTGCAACCATGCTTAGTGGACTTGGAGGTATGCTTGGGATCATTGTCCTGTTGAAAGGTCCAACGTCTCCAAGCCTCAGGTTGTTGACGGACTGCATCACGATTTTCCATCCAATATCTCCTGGTTTACTGAAGAGAATTCATGGTACCTTGCACACGCTGAATACCTGCAGAAGCAAAACAGCCCCAAAGCATGATTGACCCTCCACCATGCTTCACAGTAGGCAAGGTGTTCTTTTCATCATAGGCCTTGTTCTTCCTCCTCCAAACATAGCGTTGATCCATGGGCCCAAACAGTTCTAATTTTGTTTCATCAGTCCACAGAACACTATCCCACAACTTTTGTGGTTTGTCCACATGGCTTTGGCATATACTGCAGTCGACTCTTCTTATTCTTTGGAGACAGCAAGGGGGTACGCCTGGGAGTTCTGGCACGGAGGCCTTCATTACGCAGTGTGCGTCTTATTGTCTGGGCTGAAACTTCTGTACCCACATCTGACAAATCTTTTCTCAGTTCCTCAGCAGTCACACGGGGACTTTCTCTCCACTCTACGCTTCAGGTAGCGCACAGCAGTCGAAGTCAGCATCTTCTTTCTGCCACGACCAGGTAGCGTTTCAACAGTGCCCTTTGCCTTGAATTTGCGAATGATGCTTCCTAAGGTGTCTCTTGGTATGTTTAACATCTTTGCAATCTTCTTATAGCCATTGCCCTTCCTGTGAAGAGAAATCACCTCTTCTCTTGTCTTCCTGGACATTCTCTTGCCTTCACCATGTTTGTAACCACACCAGTAAATGTCTAGAAGGGAGTATCACAGTCATTTTAAAGCTGCCTAATTGGTGCTTATTATGTGATTGCTGTAATGTGTTTTCAATACCTGATGGAAAGCACCTGTATGAACCTCTGTTCTTCAGAGTGGTAGTCTTTAAGGGGTTGAATCTGTGGCAATGAAGAAACCACATAAGAACCATTTACTACTGTATTACATAAAAATTGGTCATTTTAGTTGCATTTGGGTAGTTACAACGTCCTTGTAGTGATTTGATTCTGAATACAATTCCAAATGTACACTATAGTCCCTAAACCCCTTTACAGCATTGGGGGTTGAATAATTTTTGGACACAACTGTATATATATATATATATATATATTTTTTTTTTTTTTTTTTTAGCAGAAGCCCTAGAGAATTAAATTGTGGTCTTTGAAATTTTTTAAGCCACACAGTATTTGAGCAGTGATTTTTTTAAATGCAATTTTTTAGGAAAAAAATACACTTGAATGAATTTCCATGCAAAAAAAAGTAAAATATAGAACACAATTTGTTGGTAAAATATAAAAAATGATGTTACAACCGAGTAATCAGATAGCTAACATGTCGCGCTTTAAAATTGCATGTGCCTGTGGATCAGCAACAAACTACTTAAAAATCTCCATGGGTTACTAGTTTCAAGTTTTAACTACTTTCCTTCTGCCCTATACCATACTATTTACTGCTACAGGGTGGACATTATTTGCAAAATCACGTACACATATATAAATATGATTTTGCACTTCTGCGGTGGGGGGATTGGACACAGAAAAAGCCGATCAACAGGTGCTAGCCAATAGATGAGCAATGGCACCTATTGATTGTCCAGGAGAGTGACAGGACACAGCTCTGCCTATGTAAACAAGAAAGAAATTTTTTATTCCCTGCAAAGTAGGGATTAAAATCCAGCAGATTGCTTATTAAAAACACCTTACTGTGTACACAAAACAAATAGCTAGACACTGGCTGGGAAGGGGTTAAACATCTAAGAAGATCAAGGGTAATGGTTACCCTTTGATCATCTTAGATGTTTAACCCCTTCCCAGCCAGTGTCATTAATACAGTGACAGTATATATTTTTAGCACTAATCACTATATTAGTGTCACTCACTGATTCCCACAAAGTGTCAGTTAGTGTCAGACTGTCCGCGGCAAAATTGTAGTCCTGCTATAAGTCACTAATCACTGCTATTAATAGTAAAAAAAATCCAGTACATATATCATAATTTGTAGATGCTTTGTACAATCCAATCAATATACGCTTATTGAGATTTTTTTTTACCAAAAATATGTAGCAGAATACATTTTGGCCTAAATTTATGCAGAAATTGGATTTTTTTTTTTATTTTTTTTTTATTGAATATGTTTTAAAGGCAGAAAGTAAAAAAAAATATTTTTTTTTTTTTTTTTTTTCGTTTATAGCACAAAAAATAAAAAATCCAATGATGATCAAGTACCACCAAAAGAAAGCTTTATTTGTGGGGAAAAAAATTATATAAATTTAATTTATGTACAGAGTTGAATGACTACTGCACAATTGTCAGTGCCGTATAGCAAAAAATGGCCTGGTCACGAAGGGGGGTACATCTTCCAGAGGTCAAGTGGATAAAGGAGCTAGAATTATTGCTCTTGCTATAATATTCATGACAATACATCACATGGTTGGGGCGAGCACCGTTTACATATGCATGCATGACCTATGTAATCTTTGTGTTTGCCTTTGCATGCCGACACAGCAGGACAGGGGCGTTTTACTTTATTAAAAATTATTATTTATTATTTTTACACTGTTCCTTTGATTGTTTTTTGCCCACTTTTATTTTTATGATAAGGAATGTAAATATTCTTTGTGATAACAATAGGCAGTGACCTCAGATGTCTCCTCTGCCCTGAACAGCATCAGATCAGACCATGATCAGTCTGTTTAGATGCTTGCATAAGCTAGTAATAGCTTCTGATCCCTGGCTTCAGTTCCAGGTTCTCTGGTGGAACAGAGAGCCTGAAGAGGCACTGGAGGGCATTGGGGGGGGGGGGACAATTTTTATGTTTTTCATGTGACAGCTTTACTTTGAAAGATAACTGGTCTTTTCAATTAAGTTGGGGCCAACTGTCCCTCTACCTCTCCCATCACAAATATAGCCCCGCACTGTTGAACTCTGATCCACTGCCAACCACCTTCACTGACTGGAACATACTGAAAAATGTACAAGTAGACAGTTTCTCCATCGGGGCCCATAGGGAAATGCAATGCTTATACAGTATAAGTAGAAGGAAACTACAGAGCATGCGTAGGTTATGGCCAGCAGAGTATGATGTACTTTCTATACCACAATTTACCATACCTTAATCTACAGGAAAAGAGTAAATTACTATTAGTAAGGGGTATCAGTGCTTAGTACGCTACTATGGTTCCCACCAAATTCCTAAATAAGAAATAATGTGAGGAATATAGCAATAATAAAACAAATTAAACATATAAAAAAGTCTAGTCTACAACCGGCTCAGCTGCCACCTTATTGAGAATAACCTTCTCGATCCCCTTCAGTCTGGATATCGCCCACAGCACTCCAGAAACTGCTCTCCTAAAACTAACAAACGACTTACTAACTGCTAAAACCAATGGTCACTATTCCATACTCTTCGACCTCTCCGCTGCCTTTGATACAGTTGACCACCCCCTCCTCCTTCAGTGTCACTTACAACTCTACTTCCTCCTCTCTTACTCCTCTTACTGTCGGGGTCCCCCAAGGTTCTGTCCTTGGACCTCTCCTATGCTTGATCTACACTTCTTCCTTGGGTCAGCTGATAGCCTCCTATGGTTTCCAATACCATTTCTATGCTGATGACACACAAATCTATCTCTCTAATCCTCAGCTCACCCCATCAGTGTCCTCACTTATCACTGATTTACTAACAGACATATCAGACTGGATGTCATACCAGCTCCCTAATCCTCAGCTCACCCCATCAGTTTCCTCACTTATCACTGATTTACTAACAGACATATCAGACTGGATGTCATACCAGTTCCTAAAACTCAATCTATCCAAAACTGGATAATTCATAGCGCAACCCCCGTATACACATAAAATCATGACAAAGTCACGTGACCAGTGAGGTAACGCATAGGGTGGAGCCTAGTGATGTCACTTCCGGTACCACAGAAACTGTAAGTGGTACTGCAGGAGCCATTTTGATTAAGGGAATCAGCTTTCCTTTTGGTTTTTACTCTGTGAGAGTGATATTTTACTTGAATAAATTATTTTATGTGTATATGGGGTTGCACTATGAATTATCCTTTCTCCCTTTGAGCCTACACTTATCTGGGTGGATACAGAAAGATACCAGTACCTTAAAGGGACAGGAGGAGTGAAGTAGCTGCAAAGAGGTGAAAGCTTATACACCAAGTGGGATGAATTTCAAGCAATTGTGACCTATGATTATATGGGTCTAATGAGAAGATGAGCGTGCATTGCATCTAGTGGTAATGGGGTATTAGTGTGCTTTAGTGGGGCTTGGTGGCCCGAAGTAGAGGAGAAAAAGGAATCTGCTCATGTCATCTTGGAGAATATAAATGCACAACCATGGTATCTTGCTGGAAATTAAAATGCTGACCCCCACCCAAGCAACTATAGTAGATAAAGTGATATTGTGCATTTCCAAATCTAGAAAGTTTTGACTCTTTAAAATGAAAAAAAAAAAAAAAAACCCAAAATGGGGACTATTCCGCCATACTTCACTTCAATAAGTAGCACTTTTATATTTAATTTGATGTTCAACTGTATCAAGTTGAAATTACCTCTTCCTGATGCTTCTTCATTTGCAACAATTCATCCTGCAGGCACTCCAATTGAACCTCTAAGTCAGTTCTCTCTATATTAAGCCCTTCTATTACTTTACGCAATCCTTTCAAATCAGTCTCCACAAAAGTTCTTAGCCTGAATTCCAGCTCATATCTTAGAAATGGGAATAAACGATTAGAAGCAATGAAACATATATCATATTGAATATGCAGAATAGTTCAATTACATCACATCTTCTCATCAGATCTTCTTTCAACACACTTCCCTCCACCATGGGGCACTAAGGTTGCCACCCGTCCTGTACAATATATTGCCATATTAAACGTCCCATATATTCATAGAAATCTTTTACTCATTTAGTGGTGCTGTTACTGCCGGCACGAAATGACACCGCCTTCCTGACCCACCCTATAGCTTGTTTCTCATAATAACCAAGTCAGTTGAGAGATGACAGATGAGCAAATTTGGTCAATGACTTCAGGCAGCATTACCGTCCAGGTTTTTTACATTCAAAGGCCAGCAAAAGTCTGGCTGGAGCAGGATTGTCATGTACAGGTCATCATGTTTAACAATGGATTTACTTTGCTGGGTGACATGATTGATGACGGGACTTTTTTTTAACTAAAAGACTTCACATTGTGGGTGTATTTTTTTATACTGGACCTTTTTGTGAGTGAAAAACTAGGGGTAAAATGGAGAGTATCTTCCCCATGTTGTTGGCATGTGGCCTGGTATGGTTTGAGGGGCTTGAATGCTCACTGCCTCCTCATCCTGGCCAGCCAGGTTCCATGCCTGGAAAGGAGATTGGGTGGGTCCCCAGATTTTTTATTTTGGTTTCCTTTTTAAAAATCCACACCAAAACCTTGTCTGGGATACAGGGGCGGACTGACCATTTGGGAACTCAGGCACTGCCCGGATACCTGGGGTCACTAGGGGGCCCCATGAAATGCCCCTGGTACCTTTCATAGGCTTTTTTGGGTGTGGTTCGAGTGTGGGCTAGGACACAAGGGCCCCATGACCCCCTATTGCCTGGGGGCCCCATGAGTTGTCAGTCCGCCTTTGCTGGGATAGAAGTCTGGTAGGGATTTTATGGAGGGATCCAAAATTGTGGGTTTTTTTTTTTTGTTTTTTTATTTTTAGGGTTATCAATGAATCAGCTATCCTTGAACCATTCACATCTATGTACCTCATTTTCAGCTTGTCGCTAAAAAATACTGATGTTTCTCCACAGCTACTAATCTGATCTGGGAAATGACACAAGGAATCTAAAAAGTGGTTTAGGAAAAAATTGATGGTTCAAAATACAAATGCACGATTGCACTTGTATCTGTACCAGCTATTGAAACCAGACTACAATAAAATAAAGCAGCCAAATGAGAAATACATTTTCCATATACTTTTAGACAAAGAGGAATAGTTAAAATTTTCGTTTATTTTAAGACTGTGAACCAATTGGAAAGATTTACCCTTACTTCATGTGTCTCTGACTCCAGACCAAGAACCAAAGGGAGAAATAAAAAAAGTTGGTGCAAACTATTTTTCCCCACTGTACTAAAAACGTTTTTGTCTGTCTCCTCCTCATGGAGATTTCCCAGTATTTCATTCCCCCACAAATGAGGGTAAATCTCCCCAGTGAGAACATCAGTCAGAAATGAAAAAAAGAAAAACACAGCAGAGGCTCTAAACCCTCCTAAAACTCAACAAAATGTTTTGGTTGAATATGCGTAAACTCCATTCACTTATAAACCAGACAATGTTTCTAAAATTACTAAACTAAAAATATATATACCGAAAATAATAGCTGACTTACTTGTTCTTGAAGTCATCAGCAGCCAATCTTGCATTATCTATCTGTAAGACTACCCTTGCATTGTCCAGAGATGCTGCGGAGATCTATTCAATCATCCAAAAATATGAAAAGAAATTATAATTTTTTGGAATACTTTTTAACTAAGAAAATTAAGACATGTTCATCTGTAATATCCGGGTAAAATGTCTGATGTTGTTGATGAACAAACTACAGTTTATGTTAACAATTTTTACGAAGGTAATATATGATAAACCAAATAATGCCTTCCCTTTCACCTTTTTTGGCATAATAAAAATGCAAAAAAACCCCCCCAAAAAACAAGCAATGTAGGAGATTTACTAAAATTAAAGGGTGCAAAATCTGATGCAGCTCTGCATAGAAACCAATAAGCTTCAAGGTTTTACTATCAACGCTTAATTGAACAAGCTGAAGTTGGAAGTTGACTGTTTACCATGCATAGCTGCACCAGATTCCGAGTGCTCCAGTTTTAGTAAATCCCCCTCCAGTGTAACATAAACGCAAATAGACTTCCTATCTCTAAATGTATTTTCAGTATACTATATATTTTTCATTGACTTACCCTGCTTTGAAGTTCTTCAATAGTCTTGTAGTAGTGTTGGAAGTCTGGCAATGATATATGGGCATTTTTATCATACCATTCACAGATCTTCTTCTCCATTTGGGCATTTTCTTGTTCCAGACAGCGGACCTTCTCTAGGTAGGTTGCTAGTCGGTCATTAAGGAGCTGCATGGTTTCCTTCTCATTGACATTAAAGAAACCATCATTCTTCCATCCACCATGGCTCCCGATGCTGTTATAGAGGGTGTCATTATTATGAACGCTATGTACATTTCCGTAGCCACATCCATGAGTGATTGAAGAATGTTTTGTAAAAAGAATTGGCTTACTTGCTCCCCCGTGGGTATTATGAGTTGTGTGGTGGACTTTATGATATCCTCCATGATGTGAAAATGGGGCAATTCCATGATGAACTGAGAGTTTGGGAGAGTGGCTCCTTACATGAACATTTGCCTTTAAAGGTGCAGGTGAATTCTGCTTGTGCTGGCTGTGGCTCATGGTGGTCTGTGTGGGTGATTATGATTATCTGAGGTATATTGGGTTTTTCGCGATGTATCTTGCAGAGAAGACGAGCGTTGGTATGCATGTGTGTCTTCTTTTATAGGCCACCACGGGAGTTACACATACAAAGCAATTTTTTTTCTATGATTGTGCACACTTTTTTGTAGACTGCTGCAATTTCAAATGACTTAATAATGTTCTGCTTGGTTATTATGAAAACATCAGAGAAGCTTATGTCCATCTACAGCTCTGATCATCTGACAGTCTTTTTATCATAATTGCGATGGAATACCTGAAAATTTTGCACCACCCTAATGATTGCAATCAGCCCAGGAAAGAAGCATCATATTATAAGTCATAGCACTTACTAGAAAACTTACCCTTGAAAGTGATAATGAATTTTGAGTCATGAAAATGTGTGAGGTAAATTTAACTTAACATTAAAAATACATGTTGTTCTCCAGACTGGTCTAGTCAGTTTATTTATGTAGCACTACCCCCCTTAGGAGTCGCTGAGTTTTTGGCCCCCCCTATAGTCCTGCACAGCCAGGCAACACACTTTTTCTTCCACACTTGCACACTGTACACAGTAAACAGTCCGTGAGCTGGTTTTCATAGTTTTAATAAGGGATATTGAACTTGGTTGGGGTTGAGGGGTGTATTGGATGTCCAGGGAACTGTGAAAATGAGGACAAACAGCCTAGCAACTATGTATAGTACGTTTCTATGTAAGTCCATAGAAAAACAGTCTTTTCTTGAAGAGCTCTCCAGCTCTCCTGGTGTACCACCTCAGACCCCAGATGAATCCTCATCTTTATCCTGCTTCCTGAGGAAATCCCTGGGCAAGGGGACCCAGAACCTGCCAAGTTAGCACAGCAGCCCCAGATGAGAAGCTAGTAGGGTTCTCCATATGATTGGCCTCTCCCCTTATCTGGCCCAGGGGGTGTAGGATTACTCACTCAGTCCTCTCCTGTGAGCTTGATGGGTTGCTGCCTTCAGGCCTTGCACTGGGCTGGCTCTTTTCCTGCTCCACAGCTGACCCTCTGTCAGGGGACAGTGACCCTGAGAGATCCTTCTTTCCAGCTGCTGCCTGCAGGTAGGCCCCTTGCCCAGGACCCCTGCCAGGCTCCACACTCCAGCCTTCACTCCATCTCCCACTTAACACTACTTCTCCTGCTGACCAGGCTCTCTCATTTTTAAGGGCTGTCCCAACCCCATGCCAACTGCTTGGGTATTGGCCAGGATCCCTTAAGTATGCAAATCAGCCTCTCTTCACCCCCACCCACTGCCTTCTTGAAACTTCTCAAGCTTTTAAAGCAGGGTATCGGGGAACTGACCTGCAAAACCCTCAGCCGTGACCCAGAGAAACCTGTCTGACTCATCCCAGGCTGACTCATCCCAGACTACTATTCAGCCTCTGCATAAAACCTGACTAGCTCCCTCTAGCTAAACCTGAAGGGTGCTACACTTATACCAGATATGGCACTGGGTAGCTTGGGGGTGCTTGAGCACCTCCAGAAATTGACTTACCATCTAAAATTATGGAAACAATTTTATAGGGTATAGCAGTGCCATGTCATAATCCATAAACTTTGGTTATGCTCCTGTCAGTGAAAGAAATCATTGCTTGATTACAGTCTATGAAGCATATGTGCACTCATTTGGCCGATGCCAGCACAGTGATGTTTTCCATTCTTTCCCTGCATTGCATGAATTTAAAAGAAGGGAAGGATTAATGAAGAGACAATAATCTTCCCAGTGCCAACCCCTGACTACACTGAACTTCTGGTTACTTTTACTGATAGTCACCACCCCAGGTTTATCTGAATGGCTGTATGTGATGGGGCAGTATCTCTGTGTGGTAGAGTCTGGCAGGAGAATAGCATTTTACTCATATACATTAAATGGAATGCAGTTGGGAAAACAGAGATAGAAAAGGACTTGGAAATTAGTTAACAACTAAGCAGCACCACTCAATGTAAAGCAGCAGCTGCACAAGCAAACAACATCTTGTGATGTATAGAAAGAAGGAGAAGTAGTGCTAAGTAGCATTGCCCCATTTTAAATTACTTGTAAGAACACAGCAAGAAATACGTCCGTTCTATTTACCGGGTATTTTATGGACAAAAATTCCCCCTCGCATGTTGTTGACCCATAATTCCATTGTTGCCCACTCATTGATGCTTTGGTCCCATTAGAAATTTCAATTAAATCTTATATCTTTTGTTCCTCCGGGTTCATCATTTTTTGGAGACCCGAGATTCATTGTAGCATTTTCGTCTCCACAGGTGTTTCGTTGGTGGTATGATCATTTCTTTATCAGATTATCTGATTTTCAAAGAGGAGGGTCTTATATCACTTTTGAGATGCTACGCACACTTTTTGATATCCCATTCCGGGAATACTATCGTTATAGGCAAATTAGACATTTTTTTCATACACATTTTGATTTGACCCCTTCGTCCCCGATTACTTTTTTTGAACGTAGTAGCCATTACTCTCCTAGGGGCAGGGGTCTTATTTCAGATTTGTATCGTCTTTTTTCGGTAACTATCTATACCTCACCCCCCTTATATAGACAGGAATGGGAGGCGAATAGTGGTATCACTTTTTCTGAAGAGGTTTGGGACTCCATGGTGGATAGTATACGTAAGAGATCTATTTCTGGTTCTGTTTGGGAGATGGCCCTCAAAGTATTATACCCCTTCCAGGCTGAGTGTCATGTTTCCGGTGGCGTCCCACCTGTGTTTCTGAGGTTGTGGCCTAGCTGGTACCTTGGTGCACATATTTTGGGCTTGCCCAAGCCTTTCGTTGGTATGACGCAAAGTCTCTGAGGTGGCCTCTGCTGTGGCAGATGCCCCTGTGCATCTGTCTATGCAGTCTTGCCTGCTGGGAGCTCACATCGCGGGAATACAGAGGGGGCTATGAGGCTAATCCATACTGTCTGTGTTTCTGTCCTGTGGGCCATTGCCCTGCATTGGAGGTCACCCACGGTGCCATTGCCCTTGGTTTTGTGGAGAGTTGATGCAGTGATGCTCATGGAGAGAATTCATTATATGTTACTGGATAGGATGCAGTTATTCGACAGAAAGTGGGAGGTTTCGAAAACTCATAGACATTTACTATCTGAATAATGAATATTTATGATTCAATTGAACGTGTTTTTCTGTTGGTGCCATTATTGTTCTGCCTACCTTCTTACCTATCTTGCTCATACACTTAATTTGTATGCCTTACATAATTGTACCTTTTTGGAATGTATTTTACAGATGTGTCTTGTTTCTGTTTAATAAGTTACTTGATGCTGTAATGTTGTCTTTGCAGCCTTTTTCATAAAAACTAATAAAATTGTTTGTGAACAAAAAGAACACATCAAGAATATGGGGATCCAGTTTTGGAGACTACATTGCAACAAGGTTAAAAGGATAGGGATGGAAAGGAATCAGGGGGAAGTAACTAAGTTAGTGAAATGGAAATAAAATAGAAATGTAGGTAAGTTTTGGAAATAGATTTCTATCTCTTTTAGTGGGCAGTCTCTGCTAATGTTTCACTAACCTGGACATCTCATTTAACCACTTGCCTACCAGGCACTTATACCCCCTTATTTACCAGGCCAATTTTCAGCTTTCAGCGCTGCCACACTTTGATTGACAATTGCGCGGTCATGCAACATTGTACCCATATGAAATTTTGATCATTTTTTTCTCACAAATAGAGCTTTCTTTTGGTGGTATTTAATCGCCACTGGGCACTTTAATTTTTGCGCTATAAATAAAAAAATTGCAAAAAATTAGAAAAAAAAAAAAGTTTCTTTGTTTCTATTATAAAATTTTTCAAACAGGTATTTTTTCTCCTTCACTGATGTGCGTTGATGAGGCAGCACTGATGGGCACTGATAGGCGGCACTGATGGGCACTGATAGGCAGCACTAAAGGGCACTGATAGGCAGTACTAATGAGGTGGCACGGATAGGCGGCACTGATAGACAGCACTAATGAGGTGTCACGGATAGGCGGCACTAATATGCAGCACTGATAGGCGGCACTGATAGGTGACACTGATGATGGGTACTGATAGACGGCACTGACTGGCATCACTGCTGGGCACTGACTGGCGGCACTGACTGGCACAACCCCTGGCTGCACTGGTGGGTGGCACTGACTGACAGCACTGCTGGGCTGCACTGGTGGGTGGCACTGGTGGGCAGCACTGGTGGGTGGGCACAGGTGGGTGGCACTGGTGGGCACAGGTGGGTGGGCACAGGTGGGTGGCACTGCAGAGTGGGCACAGGTAGGTGCACTTCTGGGCACAGGTGTGTGACACTGCAGAGTGGCACAGGTGGGTGCACTGCTGGGCACAGGTGTGTGACACTGCAGAGTGGCACAGGTGGGTGCACTGCTGGGCACAGGTGGGTGCACTGCTGGGCACAGGTGGGTGATCTGCTGGGCACAGGTGGGCGGAGCTAGTGAGCGCACTGCTGGGCACAGGTGGGCGGAACTTGCGGGTGGCACTGCTGGGCACCGATCATCAGGGCACTGATCATCAGTGCCCTGATGATCGGTGCCGATCCCCGCTCTGACAACTGCCGGTTCTCGGCAGTACTTTCCTCACGATCTGACAGCGTGAGGAAAGTGCAGCCGAGAATCGGTTCTTGCATTTCCATCTGATCAGGGTGTCATTGGACACCGCTGATCACGTGGTAAAAGGCCGCTGTGATTGGCCTTTTACCACATCACGTGATCAGCTGTGTCCGTAGGACACAGCAATCACGGAGATCGCCGGGTGCGCGCCCCCTGGGGCGCGCAGGAGAGCTCGTTCTGGGAGGACGTCATATGACGTCCACTCAGAACTGGCCGGCCGCAGTGTAGCCGTCATTCGGCTATCTGCGGTCGGCAACTAGTTAATATAGCTGCTCTTTTTTTTTACAACAGTTACATAGTTGGTAAGGTTGAGTAAAGACACCGGTCCATCCAGTTCAAATTCTGTGGGTGTGTGTA